AGTGTTGGGCAACACCATCGTCAAGTTGAAGAGACGCTGGTGGAAGGCCCCAAGTCCTCTCTGTTAAGATAATTGTGTTTTTAACATTTATTAAGGCATGTTTAATTAGCCCCTATCTTCTGAGCCCCCATACTGTTTGTGTGTGTGACAGCAGTTAAAGTCCCACTCCCAACATCATGGTAAGTCACACGTGTTTTTGTGTGTGTTTCAATCAAACAACAAACAAAACGTGTGTCTTCATTGGTTGTCAAAACAATAAACAGGACTGCATGTTCCCCATTGCCATTTTACTTGAACATTTACAGAACGTAGCACTGCTCAGTTGGAGGCATGTAATCATGGTTTCCGTTCTGTCAAACGTCTTTGTAAATAAGTCTTTGTTTTATAACACTGCTGTTGTTTTTGGCTTTGGCTAAATGAAGGGTGTTCCCCACGTCTGCTGCTCCTTCATCACCATGTACTCATTCTGGTGGACCAGACATTTACAGGAAAACACGTCCTGTAGGTCACCATGGACCATGACAACTAACACTAGACCCCGCCTCAGGTCAGTGTGAACAGCAGCTTAGCATGAAGAGATGAGACATTCACTTAGGTAATATCATATTTATTGTGTTTCCTTGGTACATGGCTTGTAAAGACTGTGTTTGTTGTTGGTTTCCTTACAGTTCTGGCCTCCCTCTGTGAAGTATATGACGATGAAGTATATAACAATGACGTATATAACGATGAAGTATATAACGATTAATATAATCTGTGTGTAGTCCTCGGGTTTGTCTTTCATATTTATTCCACTTATATTTTTATTTATCCAAACATTTGTGTCGAGAGAGGATCCGCCTGTTTCCACCTCTTTTTATCTGGCGAGCTTAAGAAAGTGCTCTAACTCGGGCATGAGATTCATTGTTCATCCCCATCATCAAAATGTACAAATTGTTCGTGAAAACCAAATTTTCCTAGTATCGTAAAGAGAAACTGCCCTTTTGGCATCTCAAGTTAGTGCCAACGTCTAATAGGATAACATAAGATAAGATAAGATATGCTTTATTAATCTCAGAAAGGAGAATTTACATGTCACATTTGGCATGGATAGAAACACTCAAGATTGTGCAAAAAGAAAGGAAATGTGCAAACATAATATGCAGGATATAAAAAAAAGTGTCAGTTTAAAGAGTGGCAATCAGAAACAGTGTCAATAATAGAGTAGGTTTTTCAGTCTTAATACAGTGACTTAAAGTGACTTGTTGTACAGTCTGACAGCGGTGGGGATAAAGGCCCTGCGGTAGCGCTCCTTATTTTGGTAATATTGCTCATAATATTTAATATCTGGGCTAGGTTTAGTAAATAGCTTTGGATCTACATTCAAGAGTGATAATGGTCATTCACCATGCATTATTGTTTTTTTCCATGTGTCTGGCCAATTTGGAAACATGGCCATTCTGATTTTCATAGAGGTCTCCCATCGCAGAACAAACAAGGTCCTGCCTTGCTTAGCTTCTGAGGTCAGCTACTTGTAAGAAAGAGCCCTGTAAGTCACTATTTGAGCTTTGACTGGGTGGATGAGGGAGGTCCTGTGCAGGTGAAAGCCTGATCCCATGAGAAGTCTGAAGCTAAGCAGGGTTCACACTGTGATGGGAGACCTATGAGATCAGGTTCAACAGTGGGACTGCTAACTGATGTTTTGTATTGAGACAAGACACTTCACCCACATTGCCTTAATGAGACTGGTGTGAGTGCATAGATGTCAGAACCATTTTTGGGTGTGAGATGTTGTTTCCTCATCAAAGAAAGACCTGCTTTTGGTTTTAGCCCCATCCATGCTAATAATGAAAACTTCTGACACGAATCGTCCCAAACACGTCCCCCGTCTCTCCCCTCTTGTGGGAATTTCTCGTGTCAAGAGATTAGACAATTTTAGACAACTGAAGGTGAAAAAACATATGTCAAACCATATATGACAAATGTCCATACATTTCCTCCTCAATACATTATTTCACATTGTAAAGAATGACATGCTATAGTTAAGACTCTCTCGAAAAAAAATGACCCCAACAATTACACATTGCATAATAATACACTGTTTCTATAGTAACCAGAGACTCTAGTGGAAAGAAGTGTGTAGTGGGTTGAGTCACGTCTTTCTAAATTTAGCCGTGGCACAAAGGCCTTTATAAAGCCTCAGCATCACGACCACATGTTTTCAGAGAGAACCACGTCTCAGGGTTCTGTGTGTTGTCTGTATCCACCATGGGGACACAACAATGACACAACGTGCAGATGATGAAATGACAAACATTTTTGCCATATTTTGTTGCTAGTTTTGTAGTAGAGTTGCAACACAGAGAGCATGAGTAAAATCAATGAGAAGTGGACTTTGAAAGAAATTAACTGGAGGTTTGATACAATTCTTCATAACTCGATGTAAATCTTTTCCAGCTAAAAGACGAGGGGTGACCACAGGGGTGATCCACATATTGTTCACACATTAATATACTAATTAAGGGGTTAAAAAATTAGTAGTAGTAATGATAATGAATTGGACTCGCAACGCTTCACATGGCCTTTTTAATGCACTTCGTACTGCTCTGGTAGCACAGGGACTGGCCTCCTGCTGGGACTTAAAGGAGCACAGGGACTGCACTGGTCATAATGCCTGCAAAGCATTTTGGTATTCCACAAATAAGTGCTAATAACATAAGTACATTTTGTATTTGATCGTTTGACCAAAGTCGTTCATTTGGACCACACGTTTAAAGAGACCTGACTCATCATTCTGGAGAAAGGCCTGCTGCTCATTTCTGTGGAAAAGTCTCTTTGATTCAAATGCTTTTTTGTGTATTTCTGCAATTGTGTTTTGAAATAATCATCTTGATTGATTGGGGAACTTTCTTTTGTCATTCATTCACTACTATTCCTCTTTAAAGTAACTCAGTAGTGTGACGCATTGACTTTGTTATTCACTCTTCACAATTCACTTGTGTGGATCAAAATAGTAAATAATGTCCTGGAAGTATTTCAAATAAAACCAGTCATAGTATAATTAGTGTTCTGGACCAAAAGTCACACAAAGTAGTGTAACATGGTCACATATTATAGTATTACAATCATACTACATATACTATACACTCACCGGCCACTCTGATCAGCTAATCACATGGTAGCAATGCAATTAGGCATGTAGACATGGTCCAGACGATCTGCAGCAGTTCAAACCGAGCATCAGAATGCAGAAGAAAGGTGATTTAAGTGACTTTGAACGTGGCTTGGTTGTTGGTGCCAGACGGGCTGGTCTGATTATTTCAGAAAATATCCAGTGAGCTGCAGTTTAGTGGAATTCACCAGAGGTCAGAGGTGAATGACTAGACTAGTTTGAACTGATAGAAAGGCAACAGTAACTCAAATAACCACTTGTTACAACCAAGATATGCAAGAGAGCATTTCTGAACACAGAACACATCAAAACTTGAGGCAGATGGGCTACAGCAGCAAAAGACCACACCAGGTGCCAGCTAAAAACAGGACACAGAAGTTACAATTTGCATAGGCTCAGCCTAGATGTTTATTCATCAAACTGAATTTCTCCATCTGTGAGATAATAAAGGATTGATTGATTGATTGAAATTGGACAATATAAGATTGGAAAAAGTTGCCTGGTCTGACATTTGGATGGTAGGGTCAGAATTTGGAGTCAACAATATGAAAACATGGATTGTAAATTTCTTATCTTTTCCATCCTGCCTTGTATCAATGGTTCTGGCTGGAGGTGGGGGTTTAATGGTGTGGGGGATATTCTCTTTTGAGTCTCTTAAGACCAATTGAGCATTGTTGCCACGCCACAGTCCACCTGAGTATTGTCGCTGACCATGTCCATCCGTTTATGACCTCAGTGTACCCATCTTCTAATGGCTACTTCTAGCATGATAAAACCCCTTGTCATAAAGCTTGAATCATCTCAGACCGGTTTCTTGAACATGACATTAAGTTTACTGTACTGTAATGGCCTCTACAGTCACCAGATCTCAATCCAATAGAGCAACTTTGAGATGTGATGGAACAGGAGATTCTCACCATGGATGTGCAGCCGACAAATCTGCAGAAACTGCATATTGCTATCAAATATGGACCGAACTCTCTGAGGAATGTGTCCAGTACCTTTTGAAGGGGGTCCAACCCGGTACTACCAAGGTGTTCCTAATAAAGTGGCCGGTGTATATTACATGTTATTGTTAAGTACAAATACATAACAAGTTAGTCGGAGCATGTTCCACCATCAGCAATGTGCTGCTTCTCATAAACACTGTTGCTTTAAATTAAATAAAAGTGCAATAACCCTGAAACTTAGATGTTGAATCTATGCTTGTGACCACATTTCCTTGTTGCAGCCTGATATTTTGTTACTTGATCTCTGAAGCTGTGCAGTGCAAGGCCTGGTTAGTACTGTGATGGGAGAGTTGGGTGGCACGGTGGTTCACAGCAAGAAGGTCCTGGGTTCGATTCCACCTCCAGACATGGCCTGTGTTGAGTGTGTATGCATCTTCGTATGTTTCCTCTGGGTGCTCCAATTTCCCCTACCACTAATAACATGCAATGCATCTGAATGTGATGAATAAGTGAGTGAATGATGGTGATGGTTGGAGGCTTTGATGCGAGTGTTCAGTGTCTCGTTTCTGACATCACATTGTGTGATCATTGAAATGCACTATATTGTGCACTCTGGGAAGTCTGTCCCGGGACAACTATTCTAACTCCACTACAAATTAATAGTATACAATATACTTTGGGTTCACGAAGGGGACTTTGTGAATTTAACAAAAGACATAAACCCTTTTGACACATTTTCAAATCAACAAATACGATCTATTAACTGATTTAATAGAAATGGAAGAGTGAAGTGTAAAGGTAGTTTCAGTAAAGTTTCTTTAATGTATGTATGTCGCCATCTCCTGGTAAAGACGGGAACCACAGCTGTGCAGATGAAGACGTCACCATGACAGCCAGCCTCATGTTGAACTCTCCTGATCTGCGTCTGGCTCCACGTCTCCTCTCACTGCCGACTTTGACACAGCGTACACAGTTCTGCAGTGAAATGTTAGATGAACCAACAGTTAAAGTGTGTCAAGGGTCCATTTTCAGTTAGGATAGAACGCCTGCACTTTAAAGCGCTTTGGGCGACCATATACAGATTACTCTGGAACTGATGACGCTGGAGTCTTTACAGCGTTTATTTTGAACATAAAATACAATAATTTAATGCATTTGCCATAATCACGAGAAAGAAGCGTTTAAGAGGGAATGAGCATAAGTGAAATATCCAATATTAATTCTCTTCTGCCATTAATCTTTAATCATATTTGTATTCTTTAAATTATAAACAAATAACAAAAAAATAAAATAAAATCATGGAATAGAAAATAAATAAATAAACTAAACTAAATAAAACATGGGGAGTATGCAAACAACAGTCACATATTTCCAGTCATTTTTTATAGATATCTTTTCATTGTGGGCCAAGGGTCATAGCTTTTGGGAAGTGACATTGTGTAAAAGCAGAGAGGCCTGTTCCATGGCGACTGATTCCAAAAGTCTTTTTACCAGTTTTTAATGTCAAAGCAGTTATTGTTCCTTTCTTTCCAGTTCAACATTATAACACATTTGGCTACTAAATAGCCCAGCGATATGACATTGTCCACAGTCGACTTGATTTCTTATTCCTTGTAAACGATCTAGAGGGCATGGTGTTATGTGCACATCAGATATATAACACAGTTTATCAATTATTCCAGCCCAAAATCGCTCAACAGAGGGGCATTTCCACAGCATATGCATATGCCTCTTCCCCAAAACCATGCCAGCACACTTTTGAGGTATTTCTGTCCATTATATTTAATAAATATGTTGTGAAAATCTTTAGTTTTTTTAGTTTTGTATCTATATTACAGTTTTCTTTTTTGACAATTAATGGTTATTTAGGTATCTCAGGGTGTTTAATGAAACACATGCTTCTGTGGGATTCTGCTGTTAGAGCGAAGGTTCTATTACTTATAGACAGTGACACACAATCGACATAATTCTATAGAGAAAAAAAGGTTTAAATTAAATGTTTTGTATTTTTTTTTAATTTTATTACAAATTGACATTGAAATTCTAAATGATTTAGACATATTTTGTTGGCTTCCTTTTTTGCAGTGTAGTCAGCCAAAAAGCAATCTAGTATAAGTTGTTAATGCACAAAGCTAAAGCAGGCATTCACAATAGTGTTGATTTCATAGCATTTCTTTAGTTGGAGTGTGATGCATGTTGTTCAGTGTTACAGTGTCATACCCGATGGAGAGCAGCAGCAGCAGCAGCACGGCACTGACACAGGCCCCCAGCAGCACAGAGAAGACAGGGCCATGGGGGCCGAAGGGGGAGGTGAGGTTCACAGGGAGAAGTGATCCACCTGAGGCAAGGGTCAAGTCAAAGACCTCCTGAAGCTGCGAGTGACCCACCTCCACCTGTGGACTCACTGCCACAGAGACAAGTACATGTTGAGTTTTGGTCTTTCTCGGTACATGTGGTGAAAGTGACCTAAGAGTTACTGGTGGAGCCTGACTATATACAGTAGTGTAAATAGATGGAAAATGCTACCCCGCTAGCCCAATAGAGAAGTGCTCATGGACGAGGTTTTACTCCAACTTTCTTCTGGGGTCCTATTCACTTCCATGTTTAAGGAAACTCCTCTTGCTCAGTAACCAATGGTGTCACATTCACCATTTTAGCCTTAAGAAATCTGTGTTTAGTGCTTTCTATTTTGAGTATTTTCTTGTAATGCAATTTTTAAGTCCAGATATGAGCCATAAGGATTGACATATGAGAGGCCTTCATTCGTGGGGGAACCTCCCTAGCAACCTTTTAGCAGCATGCTCATTTGCATCTCCCCCTGCTAGTATTAGGTAGTTAGTAAAAAGGTTAGTTAGTTAGAAATGTTTATAGTGAATGTACTTATGTGCTTATATGGATGTGTTTTCTGCTGCTGGACGCCTGAATTTCTCCTATGGGGGAATCAATAAAGTGTCTGTCTGTCAGTCTGTCTGTCTGTCTATCTATGGTACAAAGCTATCCCCGTTGGAGAAAATGCCCATACATGGAATTTAGCTGCATGCTAGCCGATGTTCAATTTGGCCTCTTCTGCATTCATAGTCAGCACTCGGTAGGTCCACTCCTGACATTCAGTCTATGTACCTAGCCTGAGAGGTGGTGGAGCCTGACCTGAAAGATGGTGGTAGAGCCTGACGATGGAGCGCTTCTCGGAAAACACTTCACACTGGTACATGCCCTGGTCCTGAGGAGATGTGGAGGGGATGGTGAAGACCAGGTCTGCTCCGGCTGTCACCTCCTTGAATTCCTCCACCTGCTGAGTGTTGAGCTGCACAGACCAACCTTCCAGTACTTAAAAAAAAATCCTGGAACCAGACCGTCTGAGGATGAACAATGCTAATCCTCGAGCTCAATGAAGCCCATTAGGGAAGATTTACTCCAATGCTCTCTGGCTCCTATTGACATAGAGCATCAAGCTCAGTAAGTTTGTGTGACATTCACCAAGATATGTTTTCTTTTTAAATCTTGATATGAGCCGTAGGGATTGAGTAAATGGGATGCCTAAATTTGCGAGGGAAACTCCAGCTGGCTTTAGCAACCACATTAGTAACATGTTAGTTTGAATCTGCACCTAATACGCTCAGATGCCCATATAAGAAAAATTGCTCCAGCTTGTTTTTTTTTGCCGATCGCCGTCTTCCAGCAAACATTATAATGACGTCAGCACCAGTGGGGACGGGTCCTGGCTCAAAAATGGCAAAAATGAGGTGCGCTGACATGCTTGCAATACCACCCCGGGCCAATGGGGGTGTACCCGGTATGAGAATTAATCAATGCTAGCGTATAGCACTAGCTGACCTCTCGATAACGTCTCTACAGGATAAAAGTCGGCTCTTGGCCCAAAGCTACGTTCCACATGTGTGTCAATGCTGAGGGGGGTGAATGGTACTCGTTAAATGAATGGGGCTCGTGCCGGCTGACGCATGCGCAGAGGGGTTTTTTCCAAATTTTCTAGCCCCCGCGGCCATTTTGAAACTGCCCATAGAACGCGGAAGTTGTGGCACACTAGTTAATATTTACAGTCTATGGTCAGCAATCGTTAGTCCACTCCAAATATACAGTATCTCCAAATGTAATAATTTCCCATGTAAGTTTAAATGGTTGAACTTGAGTTATGTTACTAAACAATCCTTGTGCTTCAAAAGGTTTGGTACCCCAACTTTATCTGACAAACCCTGGTGATTACCGTTTAGTAATGCAGATTTGAAAAATAAAAATCTACAAATAGAATCCGCGTACCTTCTGTGCAAACCTCCACACAGCCACAAAGTCTTTAGGCAAGACAAACGCCACTCTGCACTGCATGCTGATTCTGCTGTTCTCCATCACCTCCATCTGCACCACTGGAAGAAAACACACACACACACACACACATTTAAACATAGGAACACACACAGGCATGCATACACAGACGAGTACACACACACACACACACACACACACACACATGCGCTTGCTCACACAGTTACACATACGCACACACACACACACACACACACACGCACATACACACACAACTCACACACACAAGCACACATACGCACACACACATTGGCAGGGGGCAGAGTGTGCAGACAGAGCCCTTCTTAATGATAATGCTTGAGAGTCTCGCAGGAGCAGAAGTGATGATACGGTAACCCAGAGCCGCACCAGTGTGTTACAAATACCCGCCGCGTGTGGGAGTCAGCTGTCACCTTGTATAAAGAAACCAAGGACTTAAAGAGCAGCTCCAGGGAGGGGGCTCAGTGCGAGAGATAAAAAGCAAACGGAATAAAAGCGTATATGTATGGCCTGTTTAGCTGAGAGCATTTCAGGGATCAAAAGCAGAAGGAAACGCTTATGAAGACGAAACAAAATTATGTAACATGTGTCAAGTCTGGATTAGTGTACCGCAAAAATACACCCAAATCGGGCGGAGTATTGTTTGACAATTTTACACCTCATATTTCATCAAAGGTCATCTTGTTCCTCTTGAGAATATTTGCTTCCAAGATTTCCAATGCAAAATAACGCCTTAAGTCGAGAATATAGATACAAATGTTTAATGGAATAAAATGGCCAAGGCATGCAAACACTCCCATCTAGTGGTAGAATCATTGACTGATTAAAGATGGACAATGCTCAATGAAGCACAACAAGGCATTGCAGATGAACAAAGTTTTGCTGCAACTCGCTCTCACTTCTATTGACTTTTGTGAAAGTAAACTCCTCTAGCTCAGTAGCTGTTTGCGTCATCTTCACCCATTTGGGCAATAAACATATGTGGTTCAGTGCTCTCTATGATCCTGGTGTTATTAGTTAAATATTCTCTTGTAGATACAGATATGAGCCATAATGATTGAGGTAAACTCGGGGTAAACTCCAGCCATAGCTTCTGCCTCGGCTACAGTGCGTAGGTCACCCCATCATCACAAATGACAGGGTGAAGAAGCCGTTTATGTTCCAATCTGCTTCTTCCAACACTATAAACAGACTATCAGCCTACATCACTCCTCGCTCTACTGCGCATTAATTTTTCAGGAAGTAAACATGCACCATGTCCAGCTGTGCTGTTGGCCGTAAAGCTTGCATCAGTTTTCAGTGGATATCTGGACACTGAAGTCTGGGCCATTGGGTCTCATATCTTTTCCGTCCACCTGCTGGCAACACACATGGTTCTGAGACATGTTAGTGCCATATGAACCAACTTGGACTCTGAGGAGCACAGGGACCGGCCTCCTGCTGGTGCCCAGTCAGCCGAGTAAGGACCAAACACCAGCATTTCAGATTTATACAGATAAAATTTTGAACAGTTTTCCTGAAAATGTGAGACAGACTTCTTCTCTGAAAATGTTAAAATCCGTGTTAAAAACAGTTCTGTTTAGCTCTGCATACGTACTGCATAAGTACTGTGATTATTGCCTTTTGTGATTGTTTTGCGGAATACCTGTGTCAATTGCCCAATGATAAAGTTTTCCAGTGCACTGACCACATTTTGAGCTAATGCGTGAGCTAAATCATTGCAATGAAAACAACTCGTCAATCATAGGTGAGGACGTAGCTCTTTCTACAACTTTTTGAAAGACCGAGTACCTAATTACACAATAATTGAAAACCAATCATCAAACTCATTCTTAGCCCAAAATAGTTTTGTTACAACATATCACTAGTTTTCAGACGGATGCGTTTGTGGTCTCTTGTATCTTAGCGTCTTTAGATAAGTTTTTGGGGCGACAGGGGCTCAGTTGGTAGAGCATTGGCCTTTGGGCCTGCAGGTTCAAGCCCACCACAAGACTTATTTCACGACTCCCACTGATGACTGTGGTTGTTGTGTCTTTGGGCAAGACACTTAACCCCACTTTGCCTGTGTACTGGGTGGCATCTCTGGACATCCCCCCCGACCCAGAAATGGATTAAGGGGTAGAAAAATGGATGGATGGATGGACAGACTCTGATGGGCACAGGGACTGGCCTCCTGCTGGTGCCCAGAGTCAGAACTAAACATGGGGAGTCTGCATTTCAGATTAACACAGCTAAAATCTGGAACAGTCTTCCTGAAAATGTGAGACAGGCTTCTTCTCTGACAATGTTTAAATCTGTGTTAAAAACAATTATTTTAAGCTGTGCATACAACTGAGTGATTTTATCTTATCTCTTTTTAATGTGCTGTGATTATTTATGATTTTAATTCCTTGGGTGACTGACTATCTTGTTTTGTTCAGCACCAAACTGTCGAGAGTGTGGACCTAAACATTTGCACATACTTACACTACTTACCCACTGCTTTTGTGGGTGGAAAAAATTTTCCATTGGCTAATCTTGTTTTTAAAGAGTCAAAATTCTCAAATATTTTTGAGGATCCAAAGAATGTGAAACGCTGACACTTGTGAGGCTGATACTCAGTTATATAAGGCTGTGAGGCGTCTGGATTATCTCTGGTGTCTGCTCATGTGCAGCTGAGGCTTACCTGGGCAGTCCAGGGGGAACTCACACGAGTCATATTTGCATGTCTCACAGTTGTACACAGCGCCATCGCTTTGGAAACCTGAGAAACGTGGACCAGAACGTGACAAGAAATATCATGGGGATCTAGAAACTCTCTGCTATCTTATGTACAAAACATACTGTATTCCATGAGAGAAGTCATAATTACAGAAATAGGACACAAAGAAGTATATGTGCCTAAATTTAAAATAAATGTGTATCTCAGTGTGAGGAGACTCTTTGGAACGGATTAACAGATTAAAAAAGAGAGGTGTTGGGTCAGAGCATGTTTGGGTCTATGTGTTTCCTCAGATAATTCTCCTTTTGTTGTTTTTTGTATTGTTCTAGGGTCTGTTATTGCTCTTGTATCACCATCTTGTCTGTTTTGAATGAGTTCGGAGGATTGTAAGTTTATAAGCATCTGATTCATGCAACCCCTTTTCAAAAATGTATGTACAAATTATGTTTGATGGATTTGTGTTATATATGTCCAGAAATAAACATTTTGATCAACTGGTTGATAACAATTAAGTAATCTTAATCCTAAAAAATACATAAATTAAGGATCTCCACTTATCTTATCATATATCACAAAAAATAAGAAAAATGCTACAAACCACATGGAGGGAAACATCCTGACACTGTGGAAAGCAAACAGATTTTGTTGTTATTGTGATGAAAAACATTGATCAAAAGTGCCAACAAGTTAAAAAGCCAACAAGTCTATTGTCTAAAACAGGCTATTATAGAGGACATGATATGATCACGGCCTTATTATAAGCGCTAAAAGAGACCCGGGGAGCTGTAACGACCTCATATTCCACAGAAGAACCATATCTCACCTCGAGGCAGTAGTGAAGCCGCCGCCACAAAATTGTCTGCTGCCGTCTGCAGGCGCTGCTCGTACACGTAGTCTACGGAAAGCAACGTTTCAAGCTGAGTGATGCGATTAAGTCATTTTCAACCCCTCAGTCTGCAACACGGCTCATCAGGGACATTACCCAATATTTGTGAGGCCGTGAGGGTTTGTGTGTTTGGAAGAGAGCAGATGTTTACCATAATGAGGTCTTTGATGGAAATCTTGAAGTATCGGCTGGATCTGTGCGTCCATTATGTCGTTCAGCTGTGTGTCGAAGCCGGCTCCTGTAAAGAGAAGCATGCAAAATGAATGAACGAATCTCAGCAGCTTTTTCCTGTCAAAGGATATGGACACGCCACATCAAAATTTTTATCCGTGTAACGTGTTTTCAAGTACCAATTCCTTCTGTTATGAATATAATTAAGGCTGGGGTAACCATCTTTTACTGCACAAAAATGTATGTAAATGCTCCACCTTGGATTCAAAACCACTTTTCACATGTGTGTTTTTTTGGCCATATCATAGATCAGCTTTTTCAGACAGAAAAGTTAAAAAGAGAGAAGGACCAGCGCTCAGCCAATCAGCTTTCAGCCCAAAAAGTAAAATAATGACACACAGAGCTCTTTCTTTCCCTGCAAAAATACCACGTTTCACTAAGATGATGTTTGTTTTGTTTGCTCCCAAATTTGAAAATGACCAGCTGCCAACTCAGCCACGTAAGTAGTAGTAATGTAAGTAATGTTTATTTATATACCGCCTTTCACAGACCAGAATCACAAAGCGGATTACAATTGTTATTATTTTTGTCCTCTCACTCCACACAGAGATGGGAGCGGGGTCCCGGTCACGTGATTGAAAAGAACATTATTTCACCTGAGAAGTTGACAAAACAAATAGATGGACAATACTTCTGGTTTAAAAGGCAGAAAACTATGTGTCATAGTGCTACTACATAATACTCTGACTGCTTTTATGCAGAAGGAGAGAAGTTACTTATGTTTGTGCCAGAAAATCCTAACAGGGAATGAATCTAAACACATATTTTTTTAATGAGGGGACAATGTTGTAACATGAATAAAAGAGAGAAAAGTAGATTTTGTGTATCTCCTTTAAAGCAAGTGCCACATTCCAAGTGCCGCATTGGAGCATGCAAATGTGGCACTTTCTAAAAAACAGAGGTACTAGGAACCAGAAACCTCAATTCATTCAGAGTAATCCAAAGTAATTCAGAAGCCAAAATAAATGTGCTTGAATTTAAAAGCAGACAATAGAAAGAAAGAAAAGGAATCAAAAACAGTGCAAATACTTAAAACATACTGAATTAAAAATCAGCCGAACCATTGATTCAAAACGAGTCACCGCTAAAAAAAAACTGTTTTCAACCTTGACTTAAACAATACCAGCTCTTGCAAGCACAGGGAGATTGTTCCATATTTTAGTCAAATTAATCTGAAATGCGGATCCGCCATGTTTAGCCAGCCCCTGTGCTCCTCAGAGTCTGAGTTGGTTCATATGGAACTAATATTGGCACATCCATTCAATAACATCAGAGACATATTGATGAACGTACTAATAATAATGAGCCACAGGTGTCATAGATGATCATATTAAGCAGAGAGAAGAAGGATATGTCTTAAAAGTAAAAATCTTTCCTACCGACTCTGGCCGCCTCCCTCACTCGACTATTGTTGTCGAAAATGGAATTCAGCATCACAAAACAGGCGTCCACATTTCTGACCTCGTGCTCCAATATGACAAACCCCCAGCAGAGGTCCAGGCTGTCCTGAATCTCCACAAAGCACTGAAAACAGCTCTGAGTGCAGCCCAGGAGTAAGGAAAGCACCAATCCCACGAGAGCTACGCCACACATTTTAAGATTTTTCATTGTCGTTATTGTTTGAATATGATGCAAAGTTGAAGTGAGAAGCTTTGCAATCAGAGCTTTGAAGAGGATGCCTCACAAGTTAGACAACACAAGTTCAAACTGTAGGATCCGTTTTCAGTTCCTGGTGTTTTGTTATTAGTTCTTGCTTTTATTTTGGGCACTTTCACACTATTGCAGCACCAGCTCCTGAGTAGTATCCATGGGAAACATGAAAACTGTTGATGAGATTTTCAATTCAAAACAAAATCTGTTGAATAGGAAAATGGTTCTCAAAACATTACATAAAACATATACAAAGGAATGCAATACCATGTAATGTATTCTTGTATAGCCCTAAATCACAACAGCAGTCATCTCAGAGGACTTAACAAAAGATACATCGAAACATCGAAATCACCAACACAGATCAGAGAATCAACAGTTCAGACAAAAAAATATTGATCACATATGTATTGATCCATAGGGAGAGACCAATCTCCATGAATGTTGATAAATGTCCATACATGTTGTAGAATATTAAAGTGTCACAGTCCTTCTTGTAAAACACTAACTGCCCAACAGACCCTCCTGCATCGGCAAGGAAAAACTCAAAAACCCAGTGGGACAAAAGTGAGAAACATCGGGGAGATCTACATTGAATGGACTCCTTTTCCACCAAGATGCCGGTTCCAGAATGTTTCTGGTGACGTTGCTGGTTTCACCATAGCAATACGCAGTTTTACTAGCAATTAGGATTCATCGACTTGTTTTTTTCTAATTCATTCAAAGTGTGCAAAAGAAAGAGAAGCACACTCCTCAACATTGTAATACTGCACATGGACAAACCAATATCGAAATATTGAAAAATGAAAAAGAAAACAACATTCATACTGTTGTTTTCTGTCGGCCTGCTATTCAATTTCTTATTTTTTAGTTTTACATTTTCAGAAGAGACCAAACTTTTTACTCTATTTCAGTCAAGACTATTGAAAAAAAGTTTTTCAGCATAACTGATTTGCATTTCTGCTCTGAACTGGTGCAGAGTCAGTTTTCAGCACCAGGGTCCAGCATTATCTGTGTGGGAAACGAGAAAACTGGGTCTGAAATCAAAACCGGTCTGGAACCAGCACTGGAACCAGCTTTTCTGGTATTAAGCAGTGCTGACATCACCAATAGTATTTGGCCTTTACCACAAAAAGCTGACTTGAGTTTCTGTTACAAGACAGTTTATGAACACTAACCAAACCAAGGCAGGAATACAAAAAAAAAAAAAAATGTTTTCTAGGCCTCTGCTTCCATGTGGGTCAGAGGAAGAAGGTTTTAAAACTACACTCAAGTCACACGAGGGACACTACTTTGCATAATGAGCAGCGTAACAAGCCGTGGAGCCATCGTGTGAGCTTCCAGTATGTGAGTCCAGTGTCGACACATCGTGGCTGCAACATGAAAAAGTCTGTAGCAACCTCAGACCTGTTTGTGCCAGACGTTCCATGTCAACTCGAGGTCTGTTTTTGATATGTTCTATATTGATAGCAATACATCTCCACTTTTGTTGACAAATTGAGTGTTACATCATATATAACTGCGCCTCAAACCACAACATTTATATTGTCGAGGCACATTTTGACACATTCTGCTGGATTAACAAAAGATAACATAAGATTACATTAGGAAGCAATCACAGTTTGTACATATATCGCCCGCCGCTATTTTCCCGCCCAGACTCCCCATGGTTCTATTGTCTTTGGTCCATTTGCAGCCGCCTCATTGCACCACTTTTACTGCAGAGCTAGGAGACGATGCGAGCCAAGGAGGGAGGCGGCGAGGGAGAGGGGGGATCGTGAACGGGGATCATAGTGGTAAAGCAGGAGACGCAAACTTCAAGGGAAAAAGAGGAGGGCACGTGGAAGCAACAGCAATGTATGTGTCTTGATGGATTAAAACATTATTTTGCAATCAGTGAGACTGAGCGTGGAATTAGATAAAACCTGTATTTCATTGATATATTAAGTTGACTTCTTTAAGCTCTATTCGTCCCACATTGGGGAAATGTCAAGCTTTTCACCAAATTACAACCATAGGATCCTCATCACATAAAAAAACCTAGAGTTGTTTATACATCCACGTTGATATCAAGACGAGCATGTAACTCCACCCCTTCTGTCTAAAAGTCCCCAGTCCTGAGCAAGTATAGTGTCATTGTACCACATCACACTTAGATCTGTTTTCTGCCTTTTTCAGCAAAAGTATTATCCCATGTGGAGCAGGACCAGAGTGGTCAGACTGAGCTGCATGTAGACTGAGACCGGACTGGTCTGAACCACATGCAGACTGAAACTAGATTCTGAGACACATAAGAACTGGGACCAAAGTGGATAGACTGAGCCACATGTAGACAGGGACCAAAGAAGGCCGCCTGATTATGGAGCAATGCAGACTAAATGCAGACTAGAATACTTCATACTCTTATGCTTTGAAAAGTTGAGCAGACTCATATTTTAGCTGTTTTTACATTTAAAATATGTGATCTGCTTTTTGTGCTGCTGTTTGACTCTATGACTGTTCACATGGAATGAGACAAAGGCCACTGCCCTTTAATCAAAACACAAGCTGCTTGCTAAGACTCTAAACACTGTATATTCAGGTCAAGATTTGAAATTATTTTACGGATCAAAATTATTTTACATTTTGCCAAGAGATTGAAGCAAAAATGACTGTGTTTCACAATCATCACATTTTGATACATATATTCTATCTTTCCATATTACCCCCATAACACTAGTATAGTAGAGTTATGAATGAAACAAAGAGAGAGGAGTGTGAGGAGGCATCAGTGACAGACGGAGGGAAGACGAGAGAGACTACAAATCAAGTGCGCGCCTCATCACATCCTGAACCCCAACCCCCCACCCCCCACACTTCAGTCCCTCGCTCCCGGTGCATCGCCATGGCAACCAGACAGGGTGCTGAACACATGAACTTCATATATTTTCAGTGCAGTGCAGGGTGAGCTGGGTACTAATGCGTTCATCTGTCTCCGCACACAGACACGCAATCAATACAGGGCCCGAGTCTGCGCCAGGACGCCCAAAGTCAGCACGTGGAAGATCCCGCGTGTGCGCCTGGTTAACAGTGTGGACGCCATGTTTTTAAAGAGACCATTTTAGGTTCAATTACGTTCATTCACAAGGTCCCACTGAGAGGTAAGGTAATGCGACATGTCTAGTGGTGATGATAATTAAAAATGAAATTTAAATAATTTAAATAAAAACCTGCAATGCCACCCATAAGGGAAATACAAATACAATATCAATGATAAAAGTTAAAAGATAAAAGTATACAGTACTTCTCAAACAGAAGTAAAGCTGAAAACACACTCGAACAGATATTACAACCAATAAAACCAAATCTCATGGTCAAAAAAAGTCCACACTATGACTGTCTGTGTTTCTTGTTCTGTCTTTTGCAATGTATATAAATGAAGACGATGATGATCACATGACTGAGACAAGCATTCCATCCGAATACCTTATGCCTTATCAAAGACCCGTAAGCTGGTGCTACAGTCGCCATGACAAAAAAGGATCAGAATTGGGCAACAACGTCAAGGAATAGTAAGGAGCCTCCAGGCTTCCTTTCTACCTTCAGCATGCTCATTGTTTTGTGGCATTTTAATTGTTTTAAGTCCTTAACAGCAGCAAGCAGCTCATCTCCTTCTCCTCAGACCTCCTTCAAACTAACCTCAACAGAAGGTTAACCTTGAGGAGCATTAAGGACTAGGAAGGAGCTCACTCCATTTTTTCTGATTTAGTGAGGAACTTTTACATAAATGGGGCGGAATGACATGTTTGTGCTAAGCAGTACTGCCACCATGGTGGGGTCGTGGCCCTGGCTTACTCGATGGCCTTCAGCCAGTGGCCCTACAGCAAAAGCTGGTTAACCCCCTCGCTTCATGTAGACAGTGCACCTGCCAGGGTCACCTTAATTCATGCATTCACAATCACTCTCCATGCTTACCTATCTTCTGCGTTCCCTAACTCTCGTTTTATCCACTGTCATACCTCTAACATTAAATGCTCTCTTCCTGCCATCGTTCCATCCATACAGTAGCTTGGCCTACCTCTCGGGCTACTACCACTCATGCCACTATTCAACATTCTATTTGTCAATCTCCCATTCTCTGCATATTCTGTTCTCACATAACACTAAAAGTAAATACAAACAACTTAAAACTGACCAAAAGAAACACTCCCTGGGAGGAGAAGGGGACAAGGAGAAACAAAACCAAAAGGAGAAAAGGACTGGATACAACCCCTATAAGTTAAGCAAGAGTATGTTTATTAGTTCAGCACAGTTCATACACAAGACAACCCATAATTCTTTACAAAACAAGAAAGGAAATAATATATAAGTAAAAAAGAAAGAGACTTTTGTCCAGTAAAAAAATAAAGTGGAGGAAATTGGATGATTGAACAGTGATATTGTCTGTGACGCGTAGACATAGAATCAAACTGTATAGAAAGTTTGTTGTCTGTCTTTTTCACTTTCAGAAGTGTACATGTTGACGATATTGATATTGTGGCATTTCAAGCTGGGGTTGAACTTTTTGTTTCATGAAAAATCCATGTTGTTTGTCCCAACTGAAAAACATGTAAAAGGTCAAACATATCAGACTACAAAATTGTATCTTACACACTTACACATACTTGTAAGAAAGATCTTGAAGATGAGACAAAGGCCAATAAACACATGCTGGGGATAACCAGTGATTAAACCAATTATTTGAGAGTGAGCAACGGCAGTACAGTATGTGTAATACAGTACAGGTAAAACACTAAAATATTGTTCATAAGTACTTTCAACTTTCAAATTTCAACATTGAACAAAGATGGACGGATAGATACTTTATTGATCCCTCATTGGAGAAATCCAGGTCCATGTCCAGTAGCAGCAGAAACACATGCCTTCATACAAACAAAACAAATCAAATAATTATAAAGATAGCTAACAATAGTATGAAAATGCAACAGCGCTTTAGGTCACAGCAGCTGAGGTGGTGAAGCTGTTGGATTTGGACCATTTTCTCTGCTCTGGTCCAAAGTAAAATGCTGAACTCTTTATTTTCATTTTTCGAAAAGTTTCAAAAAAGATTTTTGCCTGATCCGCTTGGTTTGGTCTGTGAATCTGCTCCACTCTGGTCTGGACCAGTGCAAAACCATGAACACCGTGCTGCAGCAACATCTCAGGTAGATAAAAGCAAGAAAAGAAAATAACAATTGTAAAGCACAAAACATCTGTTTCAGAGCTACTTACGACTTGATGCCGTTTCCATTGCATTCATAAGTAAACACAGTTCACACAGTAAAGTGAAAGAAAAAATGACAGACTCATTACATGCAGAGATAATTCAAGCCTTTATTTGTTATAATGTTGATAATTGGCTCACAGCATGTAAATACCCCAAATAAAACATCTCTGATAAATAGAATATGTCACTTTGAATGTAATTAGTCTGTATCATTTTGGCTTCATTATCTTTTGAACAATATTCTAATCTTTCACCTGTAATTCTGTTTGTGTGTGGTTTGAAAGATAGGCACCCCAGTTTCAGTAAACACGCACACTTTGAACATAATTCACAACAACAAGAACACATTTTTTTGGAACACACTTTTATTTCCAGCACATTGCACACAGCCGCCCACAGCTGAAGACGATGTGTTTGTTGGGGTCAAAACCCTCGGCTGTCCTCACTCTGTCCCGTGAAGGGTTACCCACAAAGACAGCCGGTAAGAGTTTGCCCCCTGAGTCTGAGCTGGAGCTGGAGGAAGACCGTGATACTGCAGCGTGTACAAGTGTTAGTGGTGAAACTGAATGCAGCCCTGTTCCCGAGGACCTCACCTGTGACCTGCTTTTACCTCACAGGTTAAGGGTCTCAGGGACAGAGGGGCATACTGTCAGGACTTTTGGTTGATTTTTGTTTGTTTGTACAGAGCACTTTAATTGGTTGATCTTTTGGTAAATGCTTGTTTTAAAGAACAAATATTATGCATTATTTTTGGCATATAATGATGATCAAATCTTCAGAAATTGCAAAATAAAATATTCAGTAAAAAATATATGGTGAAGCAAATATGAAAGGTAAATCCCTATGCAACCATCTGTGTTGATTCTTGTTTAATGTTCTTCCAAATTCTAAAATCATCAGCTGCAAACACTGGAATCGAATGTCATTTGACAAACTAGCAACAAACTAAAACTATTTTTTAATGGAGAAAAAGTGTTACAGTGAGGTTATACTTTTTCAAGAGTGAGTCGGGGGCTTTTAGAGAGAAAGGGCGGAGTTACAAGTGACAGAAAATCCTGATATTTGCATGGATGGATCTGAAAACTACTTCAGGTCTGTTAAAACAGTGATAAATCCTACAGTTTATCACTTTCAATATGTGCTTGTTTTTCAATCTACATAAAATTATTTTTCAATGTGTTTTTCTGTCTTTAGTATTTTGTTTTGTGCACACAATTTTTTATGTCTGTTTTTTTAACCTAGTTTTATTTTGATATATTAGTTTTAGTTGTCTTTTGAGTTTTGATGTATCTTCTACATCAAACAGGATATGTCCTGTTGAACAATGTGTATAGCTGGCTTATTGGGTTATACATATTTATTCGCATAGCACTAGAAAGGTTCTTTGATTAGACACAAAATGTAAAGGAGCTAGTGCAATTTGCAAATACATAACTTAACAAGTAACAAGGAACTAGATCAAAACAGATTAAAAAAGAAACATGACTAGTGTATCACCACTGCCATCGATTGGGAAACGGAGGAAACAGGCTTTTCCTCCGTCTATGATGTCATAATCTGAGGATTCCACACATCCACGGTCTGTAGATAGTTGGACAATGCTAACCTTTTAGCTCTACGCAACTCATGGTGAAGTTTTGGTCTAACTCCCTTTGACTCCATTCCCTTACATTGACGAGTAAACTCCAATTACTCTGTAACTATCTGTGTCACACTCACTATTTTGGGTTTTCAATGTGGTTTCACATTCTCTATGATCCTGGTGGTTTTATTTTGGGACTTTGTAAACCCTTAGCCTCTTGTCAGTAAAGTATTTCATGACCCCCATTGATTCTTTAGTTGCTCGGTCGTTACTACGCATTCATTTGGCTTTAGACCCTCGCGCAAAAAAACCACATTGAGTTTGCTCTAATCGGCTTCTTCCACATTTGTCAAACACTATGGGTGACAGAAGCACTTGGTCAGTCCACACCTTCTACCGTCACAATATAAGATTGAAAACAGAAACATTAAACAAAAGTAGTATTTGTGCCAATTTGTAGTTCCTGGAGCTAAAAACAATTCCAAGATTGTTTTTGACAAGGGAGGAATGTCAAATGAATTGGTCCAGGAGGAATTCATGAAGTGGTATTCCTCTGAAAGTGTGAGCAGACACAGGCTGCGAAGGCCGAGACATAACCTCATTTGACATGTTCTTTCTGCAGCACAAAGCGCCCCCAATGCAGCTGCAGCTTTCCCCCAATTTTTGCATCAATCCAAAGAGAAAAATCGAAATGACCACAGCTTAAGACATTTTGAACGATACAGCATTGATGTCGAACCAAAACTCATGCTTTTTCACACAACTCAAATGTGTATGTCATCGGTATCTCGTTTTCAATCTTCATGCGTTTGATGCAGCTTTTTAAAAACCAATTTTTGTCTTCAAAATATAAGTTGTTTTGAATTATTACTCTCTTTTGCAATTACTAGTGTGAAATCCTTGGATCGATGTTGCCTATAGTCTTATGTTATTCAAACCAAGACAATGAATGCAAAGCAATCAATCAAAACGGGATGGACGCCATTCATAAAAATATCATTCAATACAATTGAGCTATATCTGCCAATGCGCACTGTGAGGTTTTTTTTTTTTGCTGGAAGGTCTAAAGACTTCAGGACCTTGAGACATTTGCTGAAATCCAGTACACATTGGTTACATATTGATGACAACATTTGTTAATTTTTATCTCAATGTAAATTTCTTCATTGTGAGATCAATAAAGTTTATCTTATCTTATCTTGACCAATGACTGGTATAACTGTTTGATTTTGGCTATTAGCAAATCAATAATTCCAGTAAGTTCTTCAAGGCCATTTTGAACCATTGATATATCCTTTGATAAGACGTGAAATTTAGAAATGTATTTGACAAAGATGATTATTGACAAGTGTTTGGTATTACATGTTACACTCGCACATAGAAACTCTCTATAAGTTAAATTTGAGGATCTTCCTGCCGTTAAAACAATATGTAATTAAAAATGTTCCATCCCAATGAGAAAACACGCCATAAAATTCCTGCTTAAGGAAGGCTTGCGCTTTGTTTTTTATATTCTAACCCGCTCCCAACACCTTGAGCATGTTGGCAAAGCAGACAACGGCCATTTGCGTCTCAGTCTGGGGACGTGTGAAGTTCTCGCTGGCCCGGTGGGGCGAGACGCGACAAAGCCTGAGTTTCAATAAACGCCTCGAACTCAATCACACGTCGGCCGCACACGCGAGCGATGACACATTTCACAGGTGCATGTGCAAAAACGCCACCTGTAGACAATGTGTGCGAAGCCATCACACACAAGTCATAATATTAACAGCAGGTCCACTCACTTTGATAGAATTGCTGTGAAAATATGGCAATTCATATTTTTTTTTTTCATTGAATGCTTTACACAGACGTAGATAAAATCATTAACTATAACGGGGCGCAGGCGTAAGTCAATGCGCCAACGTGACAAAGTTACATGCGATTAAGCAGGTGGGCATTTGAATTAGCTGTGTAACATCAAGTAAAACCAAAATGACAAAGTTGCATGCGATTAATCCGGTAGACATTTGAATTGGTTTTATGACAAGAAGTAAAAGTGGGGAAATCAAAAGAGATTCACCTTGTCTGTCTTGAACCGCATCTTGGCTTCTTCGTTCATTGGGGAGTGCTGCGTCTGAAGGGGCCAGACACACAGCCAACTGCAGGTACGGTGACAGACAATAGTATTGATTGTTCTTCTCCTTTCTTACCTGAAAATCCGCATTGCCACAGCATCTTCCTTCTCTTCGCATCTCTGTGGCGACAAACACAAATAAATGAAAAGCGCGCGTTTAAATTCTTACACAACAGGCGCCTGTGATCTCCGCATCCTTCTGAATGCATCCCCTCTGCCTCCGTTCACACCACTCTCTTTTTGTTTTTTTCCCCCCTTCCCTTTCACGTCTCCGCTAGCCCACTAACCCAGCCTCTATACCACCAGCCAGCGAATGCAGCGAGTCCATGCACGTGTGTGTGGAGCTGGGTTTGTGTGTCAGCGAGTGCGCACTGCAAAAAAGATCAAGAATATGGAAGTAAGTCTTAAAACAAGATTATCCAAAGAGGACAATCAAAAAGGTCTTGTTGCTTTAAGATTCTCAGATAGAATGAGAAAATAATTTGCTATTTGGTTTGAAAATTAAAACCACTACAGCTGCACATGCGTAATCTTGTTTCAAGACGGTAAAAATGTATCCTTGTGAATATAAATAACGGCAAATTTGATCTTTTTCTTATTTCTGACCATGTTTTACAGTGTGCCAGTGGAAGACATAGGGGGAGGTGAGGGGTGCATGGGGGAAGATGAGGGGGGAGGGTCAGAATCTCTAATAGATGAGCAGGGAAAGAGGAGACGGAGCCCGGGAGCCTCGTGAACCTGACAGACACGACTCCTGTGTACGCGGCAATCACAACCTCGTCGAATTGTGTGTAGGATTTAAAGTGAGGCTATAAATGACACGTCAAACTGTGAGAAGCAAAATCGGAGAGGGAAAGAGCATTGTTGACGATGCGTTTAACGTGAGCACTTAAGTATAAATGCAATGCCATGCAAGAAAGAAACACCTCTATTCTGTCTGTTTCTCTTCACTGCCAAAACATCTCATGGAAATGATTGAATCAAGTGGTTTTTACTTTAGGTTTGTCGACCTTTATTAGTCAATCAATCGATCATCAAACATTGTTTTATCAGTCAATGAAATACTATTTTCAAATCGCAAGGATTTCTCTGGAAAAATTGCAAAAATGTGTGTGTGAAGGTGAATCAGCTGAACAACTGTTTTATTCTGTCAGATTACAATCTCTCAGGTCTTGTTTTCAGAGAGAGAAGGATGGAGAGTTAGAATGGTGGACGGTCAGTGCGGTGTCTGCAGTGACGAGGTCGCTGTATCGAATTGTTTTTTTCCGAAATTGACCATCTCTTACGAGTCGATGACGTAACCTGCACTGTTCCAATTCTGCCTTTTTTGCACGCTTGTAATCTGCACACTCAAACCCTTGCGTGTACTTCAAACAAATGCACACTTCGTAGAGGAGTGTAGGCTGCAGTGTGGGTATTGAGACAGGGCCAATGTCTCTCCGCTGCCCTACACCTTAGGATTCCCCCAGATGAACTGGAGGGAGTGTGTGTAGATAGGGAAGTCTGGTCATCTCTGCTCAGACTGTTTCCCCCCAACCTGGAAACAGATAAAGCAGAAGAAAATGGATGGATGGAACTCTGAAGTATTGTGTACTGCTTTTTTGCATAGTTAAATAGACTTTACGTCAGTTTGATACCTTTTTTAGTTCACGCTTAGTCAGTTATTCTGTTGTTGACCAAGAATATCTTTGGTCCCTTTCATTGATTTGATTCAAGTAAACTTTGACAGTCTGAAAACATGATGTGCCAATGGGACAAGCAGCTTGTCGTATTTCAGGTGCAATAGGGATTTGTTTCTCATCCAGGTGAGATTTTGTTTGTCGCATTGACAAATCTAGTTTATAATATAGTCTATAAGACAATGAAAGTTTACTCAAGTTTACCTAATCTAAATATACACATTTTTAGCCTAATACAACCATTTTGGATTTCCCTGTCAATGTTTACAGCATTATATTTGTTCCCATCAGATAAGAATGTTCACAGTAATAACGGTTTGCTCCGCAGGTTACAAGTCTAACTGATGTGATTTTGGTTTTAATATCTGCAGCTCTGCGAGGCGACCGTCAGATAACAGAATCCCAGGGCCCTAAGGGAAATTCACATCAACAAGTAAATCTAATTTGGGCCTATACGGATGGGCTGTCTGTCCTCAGTATAAAGGCTAAACATTCGTGCTGGTGTAACTATCCTTAATCGCCCTAAAGTGTTGTTGCAGTCCATTGTGAGCACCGCACAGCATCAGCCGCATCAGCAGGCGGTGATGAAGAGCTCATTCACACGCCTCAAGCTTTATACAGCAATGAACAATTATCCAAGCCAGGTAAAATAATACAAAGAACCTTTACTCATCCCACAGGGGGGAAATGACTCGTGTTGCTGACCTATTTCTTTGATTCTAACAGGTTTGACTTATCAGCCAATGAAACAATATATAATTACTTGTATATTATGCATTATTATATTAAAAACGGGATTGGCTTTGTTTTATTTAACACATTTTAAATGACCAGCTGCCATCACAGAAATGTGATTGTAAAGAACATCTTTTCACGTGAGAAATAATTGGGAATACTATTGTTATAAACTGTTCTGAATGAAAACAAAGGAAGGTTTCTCACCCATCATCTGTACTTCGGGTCGTTTCCCGACGTTTCATCTAAAAAATTTTAAGGGAATGGAAGCTCGGCTTCCCTTGAAAAACTGCTTTGGAGAAGAACGAAACATCAGGAAAACCTGCTAACTGAAGTACAGATAATGGGTGAGAAACCTTCCTTTGTTTTGACTAATTCCTGTACGACTGAGAGCTTCTGAGTGATGTCATAGTGGTTTATAGACATCATACTGGTCCAGGACTGAGATAGGGGCTCTTAGACAGAAGGGTGAGGTTCATGTTTGTGCCAGAAGTTCCTGAAAATCTATGGGAGTTACTCATTATTTACTGTTTATTCCTGTCTATCGCTGCTCACAGCCTAAACCTTAGTAGAATATGTTTCTAAGTGTAAATTCTATTTCAAACTGAAATGGAAGAATTTAGTCGTTCAGAGTTTTCTTGATTTCTGGCCTCAGAATTTCAAAATAGGGTTGGAAAGTTACATTTTTTCCCAAAAATCAAGATTTTAGTTGTCGTCAAAGTTTAGCCAAATCTGGTAAAATATAATAGCAAATTCTGGAATCAACAACGTATATCAAGAAAGTGTCGTAGAAATTAAATAGAGACAGAGGTAGAAAAGAGCGTGGCACCAATGACCTGGAGTTTATTTGTAATTTTTCAGAAAGAATGCAACATTTACAGGGCTTTTTACAGTGCCAATGTTTGTCATTTCAGCATGCACAAACAGGTGTATGAAACTAGTATGAAGAAGAATAATAGATAACAAGTTCAATTTGTTAAGTCACAGGACAACAACCTTGTTTTGCTTGTTCATAGAAAAACCTTGGGAGGTTGTTATAATTGCTGAAAATGTACTTCATCTATTCTTTTTCCATGTAAGTGTAGCTCATGGCGTCATATTATGTATTTAGAGAAGATCCAAAACCAACACTCAGTTTCTTGTGTTGATCAAAATATGACCATTGACATGAGGTCGATCTTTGAGAAAAGCCCATTCACTTTCCTCGTTTCTCTTTTCTTAAGGCAAAAATGTGGTTCTCTGCAAAGTCATTATGGTGAGAAGGTGTGTGAAAGAAGGATAATGTCGGACAGGTATGTGTGTGTGTGTGTGTGTGTCTGTGTGTGCGTGTCTGTCAGCTTGTCTGTGAGTCTGTGTGTGTGTATGTTTGTGTGTCTGTGTCCATGCTCGTGTGTGTGTCTGTGCGTATGTGACGTGTGTGTACCTACGTATGTGTGTCCGTGTGTGTGTGTATGTGTGCGTGTGTGTATCAGGTGCGTGTGTGTGAAAGCCTGCAGCGCTCTCTGCAGTGCCACTGAGAGAGAGACAAAGCACTGGGAGTGAACCACCGCCATGACATCATCAGTCTGGACTGTGTCTGCCCCAGTCTCAGCCAAACACCATTTTCTGGCCCCACATGGAGCTTTTGATATTTTTATACTTTCGGAAACGATTCATTATTTAGGCTCTGAGGTTTTTCCCCAACATGCAGACCAGAAAAACCCCACAACCTTAGATAACCCACGTGTTCACATAGATATGAAAAACATTGCGTGTACATTGTTGGAAGGATTCTTTGAAAATGTATTTTACATCCAATATCCAATACAATCCATCCTTGTACTGTGTTCTGAATATTCTGAATACCTTCCCTTCACATGATGATGTATTAAGAAGACCACATGCATTTTTGTTTTTTATTCCAATTTAAACATTCTATATTGTCCCATTTGAAGCCTAAATTGCCAATTATCAAAAACCTCTGATTATTTGTTTTTTGAAAAGTATTCTAAATATACCTCTATATTCTTGCAACATGTATTTTGATCCTTTAAATTCCATTGTCCTTAAAGCCAGTGTCAAATGTCAAACCATAAACATTGGAACTATGCAATGAAATCCATCCAACTAGTTTTTGTACTCTCGCCTCTCAGCAAGAAGGTGCTGGGTTCAAATCCCGGTCGGAAAAGGCCTTTCTGTGTGAAGTTTGCATGTTCTCCCCAGGTTTCCTCTGGGTGCTCTGGTTTCCCCTACCACTAAAAACATGCACAATAGATATGAATGTAAATGAGAGAGTGAATGGATGGTATTGGCTTTGATGGGCCAGTGTGTTCAGCGTCTCGGTTCCGTCATCACCGTGTGTGGAGTGATTGGAACAATATCTGAACTCGGAACATTGTAAAGCGCTCAGCCAATCAGCATAGGGCTCTTTCTGACGAGAATGCAAAATATGACATGTTTTCTATTAAGGTGAAGACAGCCTCTTTGAATGGATTCTCACTTCCTATACACTAATGCATTCCAGGTTTGATAGTTCTCGAGTTAACCCAGCTCCTTGTTCTGGAGTGAAGCGACTTTGCCCAACAATGACACAGACCTCCACAAGTGACAAGGCTGATTCAGCACAAATCCAAAATAATCCCCCTCCTCCTCTTCCTCCTCCTTCATCTTCTTCAGGAGGAGGAGGAGAGGCGGCAAAACGCAGTGCAGATGCTTCCTCTACACT